CCCTTTACATTTTTTTAAAAATTTAATAAAAAAGGGTTTGCTAGCCCATGTCAAAAATTTAATGAAATTGATAAAGACAATAATTAATAAATATTTTAAATTTAAGTTAGTTTAAAATTAAGTGTGATTTATTTGCATATGTATTTGTTTAATACAAAAGTTATTTTAATGGTGTGCCACCCTCAAAAATTAAAAAAAAAAATCAGTTTATAGTATATGTATTGGATAGAACCTGCTAAGTTTCAAATTTTTATGTTTTTGAAAATAGAGTTGCCACCATTTAATAATTTGTATGATTTTTCAAATACATTTTAGTACATGGTTTATAAAATAGTTGTTCAATGGAAGTCTTAAGAGTCATTTTACTGGAAAATTTATTATTTGGCAGTGTTGCCATCTCGACTAAAATTCAAATTAATGAAATACAGGTTTTAAGTGTAATAAATTGTATATTAATTAATTTATGGTAGAGTACTAAAGCGAGTTTCAGATTTTCTAAATAAAATAATATTTTATCATAAAGAAAAAATGTTTGTTGTAAATTTTATGTCAGCCTAAAAGTCGGCAACAAAAATTAAAACTTTAAACCAAAAGACAAATTTTAAATTGTAACTTTAATAATGTTTACAATTAAATTAGACCATCTTAATTTTTAAGTGATAGAGTTAAAGAGCTGCCACTATTATGAGAATATAAAAATTAAAATACGATATAATATATAATTATAAAAATTTTGTAAAAATGGTATAAAGGTGGTTGTAATATTACGCTTAATTAACAAAATATATCAAAATCAGGGTTACGAATTTTGTAATAAAAAATTTTGGGATTGAATTTTAAATTTTTGCCAACATCGCAATTAAAAAATTAATATTAAAATATTTTAATTTCAATTCATGGTCTTGGGTTGGTGTGATTACATTATTTTTTTAAATATCGTTTTTCGAATTAAGTTTATATTTTATTTTAAATCCCAAATTTGAGATTAAAACTTTTTACTAATCCGCAATTTTCGGATAAATCATTACTTGTTTTTTACTCTGAATCGGGTATAAACAGTTTGTTACGAAGTTTTATGTACATATACATATGTATAGTATATGCAATGCGCTGCTCCATCAACATTCAACAAGATATACATATGTATAAGTAGAAGTAAAGATAGTAAAATGCCAGAAACGCGCAAAATGTCTGAGAAAAATAATTCTCGAGAAGAAAAGGAAACATAATAAGCAGAAGAAGTAGTGGAAAGGAAATGTGTGGGTGTCAAGTCGCGAAGCTGACTGCGATTTGAAGCGAGTTCAACAGGCAGCAGTTACGTATAAATATACTTCTGTGTGTGTATGTTTATTTGAGTGTTGCATAAATGTGAGATATGGCTTAATGGAATACTCGCAAACTTCGTTGAATGGCAGCCGGGAAAAAACTGGCCACTTGAGGCAACGGTATACATGCCCATGCATGTATATTTGTATGTTTGTAAGTTCCTGCATAAGCGATAGTTGGGCGCAGCATTTAGTGCCTGCCTCAAGGCGCAACTAAATAGCGTAAATCTGCATCTAAATTGATAATTTCAATGAAGTTTTTGTGTTTTACGTTATTTTTTATTTTTGCAATTTATTTTATCACTGCACTTTGGCGTATTTCGCTTTGCAGTGAACTTTTATGAATGAAGTAACGTGTTGAACAAGTATATACAAGTCATATATGTATGTTTGTATGTGCATTTCGATATGCTAGTAAATGTGCATGTGTGTACATATGTCAGTGAATCAGAGCCTGCGGAGCAAGTGGGCTTATGCATCCTTGGCGATAAAATCTTTTTCATGCCGGTATTGCGAGCTATCTTACTGACGGTTAGGGGGTTAAGACTTTGCCGCTGGGTTTTAGATGTAACTACTGTAAGCAACTTATAATCCAAATTATTATAAACATACATACAACAAATCTGTGTTTATTTTTGATTAGTTTAGAGGATGTTTTGGTTGCGAAAAATTTGTATTACAATTTATAAAATTAAAATATACTTAATT